ATTTTTTATACTCTTATTAAACTACGTAATATTTTTGTCATGTGTTGCTTAACAATAATTGATATTCACTAGAGTATGAAAGATTGAAACTAAATATATAATATAAAAGTAATCTATATATGAATATCACACATGTACGAATGTTTTCTATTTAATCAAAGTATATAATTTCACAGCGATGAGCTCTCGCTGTGTACATTTTCTCAGTTAATCACTTTTTCCTCTCTTAATTTGTATAATTATTGGTAACCACACACATGACATGAACAAATTACACATAATTTTATAAAGTATGGAATTTTTAAGATATTTTATAATTCAGACAGACCCTAATAATATCCTGACAAATTACGAAGAATTTTCAGTACGCGAAATGCGACATATAGAATTCTTATTAAAAATCCTTAAACTTAGACAGAATCTCGAAGATATTTTTTCCTAAAGAAAAAGAGTACAATTTCTTCTTCTAACTTTAATAAGTATTGAAGAGAGAAATCTGTTCGAGAAATTTATGTTTGTATTATCTTACGACCCAACTGACGTTGGGTACACAAAAAATTAGTCTATAGACTCATCAATTGTTCCCCTCCACGGAAATCTTTAGTAAAAGGCGAAAGATTTATGCGTGAATTGAAGGGAAACCAGAGTGCCGATGCCTGCTCCGAGTAGACCTTTATAGTGTGCAGAATGTTTTTCACTCACGCGAAAGGTAGCCATCTAGTGGTCGAATACCAGAATCACGGGCACATGACAGATGACGTATGCACAAGAGCACGTGCTTGCTTGTTCGACCGGTTTGTCTCTCCGAGATGGGTTAGGCTTTACGCACAACAGAGAAAGTGTGGGTATAAAGAACTAATAAGAGCTAATAAGCTAATAAGAGCCCTTTATACTCAAATTTATATTTGTATATCAGAGTCTTTATTATCGATTATTATTTTAAAGTAATTCCTATTTCTAAAATTTAAAATATGTTTTCCTAATATTTTCTCTATTGTGTGCAGAGCTTTAGTGTTACGTATTTTCTCTCTTCATCTTTTATAATTTACAATATGCATAGTTTTTACAAGTATTTAAAAACTGAAAAATAGAAGTATGAAATGAATAGATACCTTTTTCTTTGTGTATAACACCTTTTTCATTTTATTCTATTTTCCATTCGCTACGAGACTCGATATAAATATTTTTTAATGTTCCTTATATCACACAAATAGTTGAATGTATTAACTATATAATAATAAATCTTAAATAAAAATTGTTAAAAAAAATATAGTTTAATTTAATGCAAACATGTTTTCTACTTATATTTATGTATATTATGTATTTAAGCAAATTATAAAAAAAAAAAAAAACAAATATTTAAATTTAAAAAATATATACCCCGCAAACTCTACATTGCGGATGAAGGCCCCGGAGGGATTCGAACCCTCGATCTCCTGTTTACTAGACAGGCGCTTTAACCAACTAAGCCACGGCGCCTGCTTAAGAATAGGGTAAAATTAACACGTAGATAAAATAACATAACATAATATTTGCCTAAATGATTATAAATTTCTCTAAATGATATTATTTAAATATCAATAATCTAAGCTTCGCACTGCAGTAAATTTAATATCTTTTAAATAAAACTAATTGACATAATTATTTTGTAAAAATATTAACAAATTATGAATAAAATTAAAAATCAAAAGGAACGTTTTTGATCTTTTTTTCTTATTGCAATGATTTGTTACGCGTGATGAGAACAAAAATAAAAAAATTTTGGAGGCGCCGGGTATCGATCCCGGTACCTCTCGCATGCTAAGCGAGCGCTCTACCATCTGAGCTACGCCCCCTTTGATAACAGCTGATGCATCTTATTCATAAAAATGGGATTTACATACATTTTCAATATAATTTTGAATAAAAATAGATATAAAAATATTAAAAATTAAATTAAGAGAACATTTGCACGAAATATTTAGTTGTCACAATAGTAAATATTTCCAACAAATTGTTAAAAATCAAGAAATTGTGACAGATTTGTAATTTACAGAACACGAGAAAAGAGTAAAAATTCTTATTTAATTATATCCTTATATCTTATTTAAATTTAATTTTAATTATTTATTATACATACATGTATATTACACAAACTCTAAAATGTTAAAATGTAAAATGTTAAATAATTGTTATTGTTATGAGAATTCATTAGAATAAGATTAGAATGCAGTAAGATTCCATAAAACAATTAAAATATAACAATAGAGTAATAAAAATAACAACCATGAAGAAAGATTAGTTATAACAATTATTTTCTTCACTTTACTTATGGTCATTTTTTATGTATTAAATAATATCATGATATATCAAGTATATAACTGAATAATTTCTAATAAAAAAATCTTATCTTTTGTTAGATCTGATTAAATTGAATTCATAACAAAAATGTTTGTAAAAATACCACATTAAAATATTTGGAAATGTGGCTACCAACATAATGATTGTTATGATCAAATCTTAATAGAAAACGATAGAAGACTATCTCTCTATTTCTAATGTTTCTAGAAGGACATCCTGTTTTAAATCTAAACGTTTGATCAAGATTTAATAAGTACAAAATCATTTTGTATTGTATTTCAAAGTTCCTTTCACCTTTTTATTATTAATTATTTACATATATGTTCTATCCGAATTTTTCGAATTTAATTTGTGCATATATGTATATGAATTACTTTAAATAAATATATACAAAAATTGAAAATTAAAAATATAATATAAATTTGAAAAAGTGAAAAGTAAAAATCTTTTTTTCTGTTTTTAACAAATATTTCCTCACTATATGATCATGATAGCATAATATAATACCAAATATATCAAGACCTAATGTTTAATTATTTTAATGTACAATTATATTATATTTATTTAATGTGCAATTATATTATTTTCTTAATTATCGTTAATAGAAAATTTTAAAGAATCATAAATAGAGTCTTAAACAGAGAATTTGAAAGTGTCACAAGACTTACATCTTCTGCTTTCTATTTGTATTGCTCTCTTATTTGTTATTTGTTCTATACACAAATACTTTCTATTTGTTCTAATACAGATTTATTTTTGGCTTTTAAATATTGAATTATAATTATAATTGGTTAAATCTAAATATTCAAAAAAATATCATTAAGAAATATAAATATATAGAAGAATAAAAATATATTCGTTTTTTCAAAATGTTGGGAGAAATACAAATATATGATATGTAATATTTATTTATTTTACTTTAATGTAATGTAAGAAGGATTTTATAATATGACCCTATTAGGTACATATCACGGAGAGAAAAAGAAAGAGAGGAATTTAAGAAAACTTGTAAACTTTCATAAAATATAAAATGTTACAATATCTTTAATCGCAAAATATAAAAAATCACGATAATTATAAAAAATTGTTTAAATTAGCAAAAACTTGGGCTCGTCCGGGATTTGAACCCGGGACCTCTCGCACCCTAAGCGAGAATCATACCCCTAGACCAACGAGCCACGTTAAATTTGTAACTTTCAAGGCGATGGTCATCCTGGATTGTCAAAAACGTGTTATTGTTTATATTATTTATTTGCTTTATAAAAAATATTAAAATATTCTAGATCTACTTTAAAAATTTATATTTAAAAGTCTCTTATTTATTATGAAATAAAACAAAACAAAATGTATCAAAACATAATATATATGTATATTGTATATCATAATATATTATGTATATATGTATAATATAAAATTTCATTATTTTTATATAATACTTCAAAAAAATTTTTTTTAAATATATTTAAATAAAAATATAAATATCAAGTAGCTACAAATAAAAGAAAAAAACAGAAAATTTATTTAATAAAAAAAGACTCATCTAACAATAAGATAAAATGCAAAAATAAATATAGATAAATTGTGTTGTTAAAAAGATTATGTTAATTTATATTAACGTTTGTATATATGTATATATGTATAGTTTGCATAAATAATGAGAATGTTACATAATGAAAGAACCAAGTGTAAAATATTAGATAAAAAAAGTCAAATGCAAATTAAATAGCACATGCGTAATTTTGAATGCAGTTAGATATCTTTGTATTAGAGTCAAAATTTCTGTGTCGATTTTATGAATAATTTTGTAATACAACGATCATGTCGGGGATCAAAAATAAAAAATTTTTTAAGTGGCTCGTTGGTCTAGGGGTATGATTCTCGCTTCGGGTGCGAGAGGTCCCGGGTTCAAATCCCGGACGAGCCCATAATCTTAATTTTTTGCATTATATTAGACGTTAACAATCAACAATTACCTACACTTACTTCAAATATTAGTTTTAAAATAAAACGTACGTCGTTTTTTGCATTATTCAATAAATTTTAACAAAACGTAACAAAATAATTAAAAATATTGAATCAAATGTTATCATTGAATATAGGGTAAAGGTACCGATTATTAGATACCATTTACATTATATTTTTAATATTAGATACCATTTACGCTATATTTTTAAATTTTATTGTTGGTTCTGAAGATATAATACTGTAAAAGGTTTCAAATTAATACAGGTAATAATAAAACCATTTACTTTTATCTATGTTTTTTATTTTTGGTGTTAATAAAAATGAAATTAAGTTTATATAATAAAAGGCTGTATTGGAAATAATTAAGAAAATGTAAATGATATCTCATAATCGGTACCTTTATCCTATGGAATAATTATTCAATGAATAATAATTAAACTGTGTGATATGTTTTATGCGCAAGAAATATTCAGTTAGAGGAATAGAATCAGAGAGCTGATCGTAAAAGATCGTAAAAGATTGTCTTCAGAGCATTAAAAAATAATTGTTAGACAGCTACATTATGAAAAAAAATTAAATATTATCATTGAATATATTATAAATATGCGATAATCAATTAATAATATCAGTTAATTAAACTGTACTGCTTTTTTTACACAAGAAAAGTTCCGAAAATTTAGAGGTCAATATCAACCGACTGTAAGAGATCTTTACAGCATTAAGAAAGAATTGCTTTCGCGGTCAACATATATTATCGATATTTCGTGTGTTTATGGAGAAAGTCAGTGAAAGTTCTGTGTGGCGGTATTTAACGTTAGGAGACAGTATTTAAAGACATTCGAGTCGTCGATCAGCACGTCCTCGTATGAAATCACACGGATTTAAATCATATTTGAAATCTCGAGTGTCAAATCGTGTTTAATTCGACAATGAGATCCGAATCTCGGATTTGAGTGAAAGAATTGCTGTCTAAACGACAATGTTTATGAAAGTGCTACTCGTATATAAAGTGAAATTTTCATTATTACGTGCAACATACTAAATCACATAGGTACAAGTTTGATAATAAGTTGTATAAATAAAAGTGAAATATATAAATATTTTCGACAAACATTGGAGATAAAAATATTTGCCTAATAACAAAGAAAATAAAAGAATAAAGTAAAATTTTATCAAAAGATTTTTACGTTTTTATTCATAAAAATTTTTCTTAAGAAATATTTTTCTAAATAAATACACTAATTTTTATAAAAGATATCAAAATAATTGTAATATTTTACTTATTGTTAGATATTTTCTATTTCAACATTGGAGACAATTTAGAAAAAGAGATATTTATATATAATATATGCAACATTATGTATAATCAAACTTTTAAAAAACTACGTATATTATAATAAATGCAAAGTCAAAATAAAGTAATATTGACAAGGATTATAAATTTTACTTACTTACTACTTTAACTGCAATGTAATAATTAATATAATGTTGCATACAATATATAATAATAATATAAATGTAATAATATAAATCCTTTACTCTCTACAGCACATTTTAATCACAATCTACATGTAAATTTATTAATTACTTAAAGTTTTTAGTAACAAGAAATAAAAAACTAAAACTCAGTTATTTCAGTTATATTCATATTAAAAATGTTTCAAATGAAATTCAAATAAAAATTTTCTTAACTCTCGTGCTCTCTTACAGTGAAATTTTATATTGCATAATTCTGCAATTCAATAAAATATGAACTCATCAGAATTTGTGGAGTTTGGCAAGGCGACAATCGACTTTGTTGTCGATTACTATAAAACTTTAAGAAATAGAAATGTTCTGCCCGATGTGGAACCGGGTTACTTAAGTCGGTTATTACCAGAACAAGCACCTGTTAAGCCTGAAACGTGGCAAGAAGTGCTTGAAGATGTGGAAAAATATATTATGCCAGGTGTAAGTTTAACTTTTCTTTTCTTAAAAATGTTTTATAACATAAAAATGCATCATAAAACACATTTAAATATATATAAAAAAACTATATTAATAAAAACATTTTTCTTAATTTAGAATACTTCTTTTAGAAAATATTAATTTTTTCAATCTATTTGAAGAAAAATAAAAGCCAAACTAAATAAATATAACACAAATATTGTTAGTCTTATTTCGCTTTTATATTTTTTTCAAACTGATATATTAAATTTATTTCTTTTCTTCATCTTTGTATATGTTTCTCATAATTTAGTTCTTTTAAGTAACAAATAAATTTTCAATATCTCAATACATGAATAATTATTAAAATAATTTATGTGATATTTATTTTTCTCATTACAATGCAAAATATCATAGAAAAAATAAATACCATATAAATTATTTTAATAATTATCATGTAGTGCGGTCTAAAGATATTATCCCTCAATATTTTCAGATAACACATTGGAATTCTCCTTACTTTCATGCATTTTATCCTACGGCTAATTCTTATCCGGCTATCGTGGCCGACATTTTAAGCAGCGCGATTAGTTGTATAGGCTTTAGCTGGATAGCATCACCAGCCTGTACTGAACTCGAACTAATAACATGTAATTGGCTTGGCAAACTATTAGGGTTGCCTAATGAATTTTTGAGCCACAGCAATGGAACAGGCGGAGGAGTAATACAGGTAATCGCCATATCGAAATCATACATATACACTGTATATATGCATAGATTGATTCTTGGCTTATAATGAATAAATTAATTCTTGATCCTTAATAAATTAAATTAAATTGATATGTTTAAATTATCGTAAAATAATGTTATTATTTTATTAAATTTTACAGGGATCTGCAAGTGAATGTACATTAATCTGTTTGTTGGCTGCAAAAGATTATACAATGCGACAAATAAAAACTCTTCATCCAGAACTACACGAGGATCTCATTAAATCTAAATTAGTTGCATATACTTCTAGTAAATATTCTATAATTTTTTTAAAAATTTGTGATTTTTTATATTAAACGGTTATTAGTTTTTAATCTCATCAACTTATTCATTAATTAAATAACTGTAATTTAATTTCAATTTATTAATAATATATTTGTCTAAAATTTTAGATGAGTCGAATTCTTCAGTAGAGAAGGCAGCAAAGTTAGGATCAATGCTGATAAGACTACTGCCAGTGGACGATAATTGCTCTTTACGAGGTGAAACTTTAAGAAAAGCGATTCAAGAGGATCAGGAGAAAGGCCTTATTCCATGTTACGTCATCGCTACCTTAGGAACTACTGGCACGTGTGCATTTGATAATCTTGACGAAATAGGACCAATATGCAAAGAATATAACATCTGGTTACATGTTGATGCTGCTTACGCCGGTGAGTATTTAAAATTAATCTCTTGTACCTAATTTATCTCTATTTTATTAACTTTACAATTTAACTGTACTTCATATTTTCACATCTATATTTCGATGCAATATATCATCAATGCAATACATTGTAATTAATAATATTAACTAAATTATTAAATAGAGCAAACTTAACTTCCTTTCCTATTAATATTTTTTAACAACGATTTTATTTTAAATCGTTGTTAATAAATATTATAATAAAAAAGGAGTTAAGTTTGCTCTATTTTAGTAAGTTAGTTAATTACTAGTTAAGATCAGTTGTTTGTATTGATTAAAAAAAAGATAATTTAACAAAAGTCCCTCTCATTAATTACATTTATACAGGAGCAGCATTTGTGTGTCCGGAATTTCGTTATTTAATGTCCGGCATTGAATATGTAGATTCTTTTAATGTAAATGCACATAAATGGTTGCTTGTGAATTTTGATGCTTCGGTAATGTGGTATGTATTATATTATTATTACATTATTTATCTCTAATATAGCTTATTTATCTACATATCAAAATAATTTTTTTAGTTTTATATAGAGTCACTTTTATGGCCATATTTTTTTAATATATAAATTATTAATCTTTAATCTTCAATTAAATTTACATAGCCTTTAATGAAAACCTTATTTAAATGGTTTTTATATGTATATTTGATATTCAAAATTAAAACAAAAAAATAACATTTCTAAATTGGAGATAAAAGTATATTTAAAATAAAATTTTTTTTAATTGTGCGTATAAGATGAGCATTTATTTAATTCTACAAAATAAGCTAATATTTAGCATTTTATTTTTTTATTGCTTTTAGGGTAAAAGACTCGAGACGACTTGTAGAAGCATTCAGTGTTAACAGAATATATCTTGAACATGATAGAGAAGGACTAGCACCTGATTATAGAGTAAGATTTTATGTACACTTATTGCTTATATATATATAATATTCTTTTTTTAACAGACTATTTTGGCATAATATAAATATTTTTCATTTTTATAACTCAAATTTTTCATGATATTGGCAGAATTGGCAGATTTCTTTGGGTCGACGTTTTCGTTCGTTAAAATTGTATTTTGTCATGCGAATTTATGGAATTGAAGGTCTTCAGAATCACATTAGACACACTATAAAATTAGCGCAACTCTTTGAAAAATATGTTAGATCAGATGATAGATTCGAAATAATTACCGTAGTTATGGGTCTCGTCTGTTTCCGTATCAAGGTATGTTTCCTCACAGATACATAATTACTTATTTCTTTATTAAAATTTACAACATAAAAAATAATTTTTAAATTTATCGATTTTTGAGAATTAATTAATGAATCATTAGTGTGTGTGAAGTTGCCACTCATTTTCTGAAAACTCAAATAATTGAGAGTTCTGACTTTATTTACAATAATTCTAAAGTTCCTAATAGTTTAAACAAATAATACTGGCCACACAACAAATAATTAAAAAATGCCTTAGGATAAATTGAACCGCCAATTTACAATAACGCGTCTCACTTTGTCTAGTGATATTTTCCTTATTAGTAATTATCAGAATTGAAATAGTTTACAATTCTACATGAGGTTCTAAGAAGGGTGCTGTCTTTTAAAGCAAAAAATATTGATTAATTTTATTTCAAGTATTTTAATTATTAGAATTTTTTGGAAAGGCATTGCACATGCCAAAAACTGTGAAAACTGTTTTGAAAAAAATACAACTCTTGAAAATCGACTGGCATTTCATGTTTAAGCTCAAAAATATGCGTATTTCGAGCAAAATAATTATTTTAAAAAATTTATAAATGTTTTAAATAAAAGCAAAAGTCTTGTAAAACTCGACTGGCATCTCACTTTGAAACTCGAAAATATGCATTTTTTATTTAATGAGAAGTAAACTTCACACACACACAAATCATTATAAATATCTTTCTTAATCACATTAACTTATAAGTTTTATAATTAAGTTAAATTACTTATCTGAATTATATGTTACCAAAATTTTTGTAAGAAAGGAATTACTTGTTTTTTAGGGTGATAACAGTTTGACAAAAAGGCTTTTAAATTGTCTTCAGGCTAGAAGACAAATTTATCTCATCGCAACCACTTATCAGGATAAGCTTATAGCCAGATTTGTTGTATGTAGTTCATTAACTACAGAAGAAGACATAGCTTTTTCATGGAACGAAATAAGTTGTCAGACAAACGAAATTTTACAAAACGAATTTTATCAAGAAACAGTTGAGAGTATCACAAAATCGCCGGATGATATTGTGACAAGAATAGAAAATCTAAACCTGGCAACAAAGGAAATTTCGCAGAAAATATCATAATCCCAAAAATTTTATTTAAAAATTTCATTTGAGAAACTTGCACATTTTCATTTCAGACCTACATATTTATCATTATGTAATATTATATATTATTATATGTGTGTCTAGTTTTTATCAATTCTAAACAAGTAATGTACAAATAATGATTGTACAATGTATTTTAATAAAATATATGGAGGTATATGCGAAATTGATTATAGATAAAAATCTTATTGTCAGGCTATTTATTTTAAAATGGATTAAAATAAATTTATGAAATATTATATATTTAAGTATTATTCTAATGTTGATTTGAATGTTTGAATGTCTTTCTTTTAAATATATTAATAGGTATAACAATAAATAGTATAAATATAGATATATAATATATATCTCTTAAGCAATTTAGTAGAATAAATAACACAATAATATTTGTTCACTACTATACTATAGATATCAAATTTTGCAAATTTAAATGTTTATATACCCAATAGTAACTAAGAGTATAATTATTAAAAATTTTAATTCTTTTTTAAATATTTTTCTTATACGCATGTCATATAATAGAGCAGATATAATATTTTCATAAATAAATTATTTTAATTTATATCAATTTTCTTAATTGTAAAATTAAGATAAAAATGATTCCCACATTGTTTCGCGATACACATCTCTCTCTCTCATACACGATTTTTACAAAATTATTATCCAAAATATAAATAAAAATTAGCGACTCACCGATACGATGTACAGCAGCGGAGTTGTGAACTGTAAAATATAAATACATTAAATTATACAGTGAAAATTTAATATAATTTCGAAAAAATAAATGATTATCTACATCGAGTTCTTTAAGTAAAGTAAAAATTTAATTTTTTCTTTACAAATAATCTAAATAATTTTTTTTATAAATATATAAAAATATTTGATAAATCGATCTATAAATACTTAAACACTTAAAAATAATTTTAAATATTTTTTGAAAATAAAACAAACAAATTTTAATAATTAATAGTAATAATAAAATAAATAATAAATAAACTATTTACCGTAATAGCTGCTTCGTCGTTGCCCGATGCCATCCTGAGCCCCAGGATTCCTCCTCCTCGTCGTAGATGCACTTCGAAACACTTACACTCGCGAAACTTTTTTTCGTTCGCGACGTGCGGCGACGCCCGGATTTTAATTGTCACATTTTCGACGCGTTATGAAAACGCGAGATTCGCGGGAGCTTTTATTCGCGCACGAATAAACCCGATGCTCCGTTTTCGCGTCGCCGCTTTTCTCAAGATCCCTTATCGAAGGGCCCGATCGAACGACGATGATGCGGCGATATTCCAGAATGGGGCACTGCACTTAAAATATATATCCACTGCATTTCACAAAACAAGGAGCATTTTCGAAACACCGTGTACACTCGCGTATTCCAATAATATACGAAATATATACGTGCTTCACTCCTTGTTAAATATCTTCGACTCGACGATTCACGAAAGATTCTTAAAGAGGAACATGTAAACATGGCGGCACGACCGAGTCGTCCTACTCGTATTTGACCTTCGCGATTTTCGCGAGAATTACGTGCGTAGTTCGTCGCGGAACGATACTCCGACACGGCGATGCGGAAGTACGAGCGGAAACTTTACGGATTACGAGCGATAACGCGGAAAATCCCGGGAAATTCTCGCGTCGAAAGCGCCCGGCACTTGTCGCGATCCGCCGTTCTCAACTTCGCCTGCGCGAACTTCAGGCGACTCGACGGGACCCCGAGTCGGGGGCTGTCGGGAACTGTGACGTCACGCGAAGGTCATTCGGAGGAACGAAAGTGAGATTCCGCGGATTCGCGATTCCCGGCCGGCGAGGTCGATCTCACGCTCGCGATTACGATCACGATGTCGGGAGACGCGACGCGAACAAATTTATGCAGTAATTAACGGCCTAACAAAGCTAATTAATACTCAAACTCGCGTTTTTTCGCGGAGCGAAACCCGGCTCGACCGTTGATCGCGAACGATGTGAAATACAGCAGAGGGCAGCACCTATTGATAGACTGTGTTCGGAAATATTACCTAGGCTGACGGACGGAGAGATTCTCGGTCTCTGATTGGTCGGTGCAAAATTTGTCCAACCAATCGCTGCGCTGAATTGAAAAAATCACCAAATTGTTTATAAAAATCACTAAATTTATTGCTCCCTGCTGTTGCTGCATTTCGCTATCTATGAAATATTAGCTTAATGTTTAATGACAACAATAGACGGTCTGAGTAGCCGAAATCTTTGTTTACAAATGATGTTTTTTTCATAGCAACCTATTTTTATATATCTAAATTTTGAAATTTAATTTCTTCTTTACGACAAATTCACTGATTTTAATTATTTACAATCAATGAAATGCTTTCGCGATCCAGGGTATCATCCTGGAAGCTGCAGCGATTTCTTACAAGGTATTCAGAATAATAATATAATATCAAATGAAAAATTATTCTATAAAAACCATTCATTTTTTATATCTTTTTAAAACGTGATTTGTGGTTTATTCATGGAAAATCTATAATATTAATTAAGAAAGTAATATTGAACTTCATTATTTGCAATTAAAAGGAGCTGTTAATTAAACTAGACAATGTTCATAAAATATGTTTAAATAATGAATAATATTCTACAAGGAAATCTCACATTGCAGATTATTCTCATTGGATAAAGGAGAAGGTTGTAAAAAGGATATTTCAAAATATACGACACCTGCAAAATTAAAAACATGTCAGTTGGATCCTTGTATGATAGATCCATGCAAACCAGAACCAAATATAGTTATCATAGGTGCTGGTATGGCCGGATTATCAGCAGCTCATCGATTGGTTCAATGTGGCTTTCACAATTTTACAATTTTAGAAGCGACAGATAGGTAGAAATTAAAAATTAATGTTAAACTTAACATTATAAATTAAAAAACATACATACATATATGTGTACACATGTATGTATAGAATAAATTAAAAATTAATGTTAAACTTAACATTATAAATTAAAAAACATACATACATATATGTGTACACATGTATGTATAGAATAAGAGTAATTTTTAATGCATTTTGTTAGTTATCTTTACGTTTAATTATAAAAAAAACTTATGTTAGTAAGACTTTGCTTTTGTTATCTTTACAAGAACTTCAGTTAAATAACATTTTTAATCATTATTATTGTTATCTTACTTTTACAAGGATTGTAGTCAAATAACATTTTTAATCATTAGACCAGGTGGTCGAATCCATTCTTGCTGGCTGGGTGATGTAGTAGCAGAAATGGGTGCCACATGGATTGAGGGTGGTTGTGTGGCAAATCCAGTGTACACTTTGGCAGCACAGGAAGGTCTTCTGAAATCGCCACTCTCCAAGTCGAATCTCAGTCGCGGACTCTTCTGCACCAGCGATGGTCGAGCCATCGATCTTCCAGTCAGCATCACAGCATATCACACCTTCCGGCAAATCGAGCAACAAGCGGCAGCTCTCTTCGTCCTTGGCTGTGGTCGTGCCCATGGTACGTTGCTAAACTTTATGGGCATGAGAATTCAGCAAGAGCTACAGAACTTCCCCGAGGAGCAACGGTACAGTTGCCCGGGTCACTCGCAAGTTTACTAAGCAGCGATGTAAAGACTTTATTAGGACAATCAGACGAGTGGGAATCAATAAGTTTCTTTGTCAGTTGATTAGAAAATATTATAGAATAATATTCCAACTTTAGAATTTTTTTTATTTCTTCTTTAATAAAAATATACTGAAGATTTTAAATATATTCAAAGAGCTAAAAAAATGTAGTCAATTATAGAAGTTATTATTTACTCAACTATAATAAATGCTGATCACTTTATATGTAATAATAATAATTTTTGAATTATTGCCTAGAATTAATATATATTATTTTAACTTTTCATTATCAATATTTTATACAAATAATGTACATGAAAAAATATATGTACATAGTCATATGTAAGTCGTTATGAATTGAATTGAATTGAATTGAATCTCATAAAAGTACAACCATTACATCGCTGTGTAATTACGATTCAACTACATTTTTCTTCTAAAATCACAATGTGAATGACTTTCGATTTGCAGATATGATGCTGCAAGGGTGATGTACGGCATGACGAATATCGTCAAGTGTCGATGTGGGGATGATCTTTCACTCGTCTCGGCCGATCAATTCGGCAGTTACATCGAGATTCCTGGTGGTAATATTAGAGTGCCCTTGGGATATGTAGGGGTGCTGGCTCCCTTGCTTCGAGATCTACCTAGTTGTTGTGTCAGGTTCGTATAAAATAAGATTTGTGGCATTTGCTATTTGTTTCATCAAGATGCATCTATATTCACGAACAGAAACGCACCAGGAAGTTATAAAATTAGATAAAAAAAACTATTTAAATGAAATATTCATTATATATGCTACAAAAAAATAAATGCCTAAAGAAATAATGTTTTTTTCGGGTAGAGATGTGGCTTTTTCTTAAAAGAAAGATGTTTTTTAAGGTATTGCAAACCGGTTAGTTGCATTCGATGGGGTGCAGTGAATGAAGCATGTCCCCGGGCCGTCGTAAAATGCAGAGATGGCGAGGAATTTCCCGCTGATTATGTCATCGTGACAGTTTCGCTCGGTGTTCTGAAGCATCAGCACGCGAAGATGTTTTTACCTGGATTGCCCGCTGAGAAAGTCGAAGCAATCAACAAGCTTGGCTACGGACACGTGAACAAAATCTTCCTCGAATACGCGAGGCCCTTCTGGGTTTGGCGTGAAGGCAGCATCAATTTGGCTTGGTCCGCCGAAGAGTTGGCGAATCGATGCGATTGGGTGAAAGGTTGTCGCTTCTTATTAATTTAATATTCGAATATTATATAGTTAATATATTGGAACAGCTTGAAAAAAAGAACATATCTGTAACTAGAATAAAATGATTGTAACTAAGTCCAACGATGTGTTTAGGGGTGGTGAATGTGGAAGAATTGCCGAATTCTCAGCATGTGTTGTGTGCCTGGGTATGCGGACGCGAAGCAACGGACATGGAACTATGTTCCGACGAGGAAGTAGTGGAGTCAATGACGGCGCTTCTTCGTCAATTCACTGGTGATACTACGTTACCCTATCCAGCCAACATTCTCAGGACCAAATGGTGCATGGATCAATACTTTGCCGGAGCTTACAGTTACATGGCAATGGACAGCATTATTGGTCATCAATGTGATCTGGCTAGTCCGTTACCAGGTCTTTAACTTTCACTTGTGAACATCTAATTCCCACTATGAATATTTTTGATTGATATATATCAAGATACAGTTTTCAATTTAATTTTAAAATTAACGATTATTTAATATTGTTAATAATTTCAATCATGACGGTTCTCTTCAACATCTTGTCAACGCTCATATTATGATTTTTTTAGACTCGTGCGAATCGATACCTCCCATACTTTTATTCGCGGGTGAGGCTACTATACCAGGTCATTATAGTACTGTACATGGTGCAAGGCTCAGTGGTATTCGTGAAGCAGAAAGAATCATTCAATTGACAAAACAATTTAATGGTCCGCCAAAAAAAATACCTGCCAAATCGTGATTCAACCAATAAACATATATGTACCTGTGAAAAGACTATTTTGTGATATAAATACGTTACAAACAATCGAATATATACATTTTGTGAATCATGTTTATTTTATATAAATATACACATAAATTGTCTTCAAAATTATGTTTTTATTTATTCGAAAATTGCTGTTTATTTTATATAGTTTATCGGAATAAATTTAGATATTTTCTTTGTTTAGCAGATGATCTTCGCTGATTTATTCTTGTGTAAATCAAAGATGTAGTATACAAGACAAATTCTTAGTTATTCTAATTCTATCATAAAAATGTTTTAATTTCGAAAATAAGGAATGTATTATTTTAAGAGAATCAATAAAAGATATTGGAATAAATAAGCATGCAATTAATTCAATTATTAATTATAATATTTAATAATATATTTACTTATAAATTATTAATTTAATTATTAATTGTCAATTTTAATTATCGACTATTATACATTTTTAAATTTGTATATTTATATCGATATATGACTCGTTCGATATAGAACACATTTCGATTCGATATATTCCCTAGACTCGAAATCATTTGACTATGCCCGCCTGCGTGCAGGTATGTGCATAGTTTGTGACGCACGAGGTGGTTTTGCTGTGTGCATATGTATATGTTTATGCCTCCTCTTCTCTCCCTAAAACCTAGACCCGGCAAAATGGACGATATAGCACTGCGAGCATCTGATCGTGTTTTAGAAGTGATATTCTCGTATCTGGATCTGCACACGTTGAGAAATTGCTCGCTGGTGTGCAAACGGTGGTACCGGTTTCTCAATGACGAGAACAATGACGTTTGGCGGATGCATTGTATTAGAAAATTGGCCCAGGAGGCCCTCAGTTCCGATTTGTTATCGTCGGTACCCACATACAAATCCAAGCTTCGTGCATTTTATCACGCGTGGAATCCGAACGATTGTTCTCGGAATATTTACATCAAACCCAACGGATTCACCCTGCACAGGTTGGTCCAGCGAAGTGATCTCGTCTTTGTACTTTCAAGCGTCGAAAGAGAGTCGCAACTCCGATGTTTTCGTATACTCGCATTTTTTATGTGAATATTTTTCGAAAATAATCTTTAATTGTGATTAATTATTCCGTCCCTTATATATAAATAAATCAGCTTCAATTAGAGTAAAAAAAATAAACTATAATCGATTTTTTTTTGTATAAAACATGATTGGATTTTACTTGAAAAAATGAGCTGGAAACATTATTGCAATATCTCTTTTCATAATTGATTTTGACAAGTATATGATATAAATTGTGAATATGTACATATATAAAATGCAATTTCCCAAAAAATTATAGTAAAAATTATTAATGATAGATATATATATATAATAGAAGCATAAAATAATCTGAGAAGTATCCAAAATGTCTCGCACCAGTTGCTATATCATTACAGAAATCCTGTAGCGCAGAGTACAGATGCATGTAGAGGCAAAATAGGTTTCCGACATGGACGTCATGCTTGGGAAGTTATCTGGGAAGGACCTTTAGGAACAGTAGCAGTAATAGGAATAGCCACTAAAGAAACACCTCTCTTGTGTCATGGATATGTAGCGTTACTTGGTTCTGACGAACATTCCTGGGGTTGGAATCTTGTTGATAATCACTTGTTACATAATGGAGATCCACAAGGCAATTATCCTTTACTCAATAATGCTCCAAAATATCAGGTATTTGAATTGACAAAAAAATATTCATAATTTTAATATATAAGTAAATTTATCATTATATTTTTACATTTTTATATTATATTGATCTTTTTTTATAATAAAAGCAGATCTCTAAAAAATATTCCTATTTTATTTACAGGTTGGCGAGAGAATTAGAGTAATTTTAGATTGTGATGATAATACATTGTCTTTCGAAAAAAATTACGAATTTCTGGGTGTAGCTTTTAGAGGTATTTATAGCTTTTTATTTATTGTTCTACATGTGTTCTTTATTTTTCTGTAAATTGATTACAATTTACTCTATTCTTGCTCACAGTTTGAAATAATTATATTATTTTCTTTTTCTATTTATCTTTAAAAATATCTTATTTATTCTTAAGCTCTCATAGCCAATTACACTAGATTGATCTTTTGTTATTCTCAAGACACAGAAATATATATATTTTTACAAGTTGTTTTATTAAACAGGGTTACCAGATAAGAGATTATATCCATCAGTATCGGCGGTTTATGGAAATACAGAAGTGTCCATGGTATACTTAGGACCACCGTTGGATGGCTAACACATTTCATTTAAGAAAAACATATCCTCAAAAAGCTCACAATTGAGGCTGTACAATGCATTCTTAATGCCAAGTTTTCTGCACTATATCGATATTGTCTACGTTTAAGTAGAACAAAGCACACAGATACAAACTGTACAATATTCTTTACAGAGAATGTGTGCCTGCTAGATTACTTGGTCAATAATATTGTAAATAATAGGCATTTTATTTTATTTAGATTGCAAAGTTTATCATCCAGTACATACAATGGCTTGGTTTAAACAATCAAATTGATTTCAGTTAATATAATATTGTGTGTCCACACATGGAGGCTTTAAGTGATATTAGTTTTTAAGTAATTGTTTGTATGAAAATATTTCAGTGAGATACTTATTAAACAATAATATTCACTGAAATAGTTTTTATTAAATAATGCCATTGTATGAATATTGCTGAATGAAATTTGAAAGTTATCAGAATCTTTATATATGTATATATGAGTAATATATTTGTCATACTTAATACCTCCATGCCAGAGTATTAATTATTTATTTTTAATAATGAAGAAAGGTATAATGCACGATATTTTAATAATCTTTTATTTAAAAAAAAATTAGTTTTAATTATTGAATAATATTTAGGCATTCCGATTTTTTGCATCTTTCTTTATGACATATATATATGTGTGTGTGTGTGTGTGTGTGTGTAATCTCAGAACACTCGTTACAAAACTTTGCAACCTCTCATTTTTTTATCGTTAGACAGTAAGAACAAATGACTCATTGTATTCTTCCAGAATGCTAATGTTCCTTTTGATATATTTGTATAACAGTGTATTGATACATTGTGAATGATAGCAACAGAAAAAATGACAACTATTTTTATTTTATTTTTTTTTTTGTAAAAATTAACATGTGATTTAATTTATTTATGATTGTTTGTCTATACATATATAGAAAGTTAATATAGAACTTTTGCAATTCTATATTTTCTTTGTATTACAATGTAACTAAAACAGACGATTTCCGGAGCAATTCTTCATATAATAGTATACAGGGTGTCCCACTTAAAGTGTTCATTGAGTATAGCTAATTATTTTTTGTACAAGAACAAATTGTAAAAGTAGTTACATAGCATATTAAAATCAAACAATGAACATATTCTCAGGCAAGGCCTCATTCATTAAGCACACTGAAAATTATTCGTCCTAAATAGAAAATTAAATTTTACCATTTTGTTGTTTTTTTTAATGGAATGAATCTCAGAACTTTCATTTAACAAGACATACTATTTTAATGATTTATCTTTAAGAGAAATGTGAAAAAAAGAAAATATTCAATAATTATCTAGCATTGCTTAATGTGCAATGCATTTTTCCTCGTATTTTAAACATTTAACGTCCTTACATATTGCATTAATGCGATCTCATTTAGACTCTAAATCGTATATTAGGTTGCCAGTCAACCTCATTTTAATACCTCGTGTATATGCTGTATAAATTGTATGCTATTAATGTGTGATTAAGTGAATGCACACAAGAGAAACATTTATTGCATAAAGTCTTAAACAAGCTGTTCTTTTCAGTCATCTAGAAAATTTTTATGTTGATAACAAATACATACATAAATAGATATAAATATGAAAGATTGTATATTACAATCTGTGTTAAGTCTATATTTATAAATAATGCGCTGTTTTTAATATAAAAGATTGAATACCAATGAGATTAGAATGAATTAGATATTTGATCAGTAAGAATTATTTATAATATTTATTATGACAATTACGTTTGCTGTATGTAGTGAATGTATGTTTGTGAATTAGTTTTTCTAAACTTTTGTACAGAATCGTGTACATAGTGATTATAAATATTTGGGAAATAAACTTTATTTCATATGTACTTATTAGTCCTCATTTATGAAGTTTACTACTTTTTCAGTCTTTTTCTGTTTCATTGTGTCATTGATTAATTTATTCATTATTAGATCGTATGTTCTAAAATCTTGATATATCTAGATAAAAATTAAATAGATCCAGACAATTCCTTTATTTATTTTATCCAAAATCTTACAATGTTTTCACAACTCAAACGCAAGTGATAGTAACAATATTACATGTGTATCTATCTCAGATATCTCTTCGAGCAGTACCTATCTATTAATTCGTGAATTCAAGAATTCACGATGGCACTACATTAAGAGAAAGAGTTTGCCTTTATAAATATCCAAATTAAATGATAAATTCTCTTCTCCACTTGTTACATATCTCGATTCTGTTCGAGCTTTAAAACGGAATTTTTTGTAAATACACGTATACGTGTATCACGGAACAAATCGAATCATATTAATATTATGATTAAACTCGGTTAATTCTCTTAAAACAGAATATTTTTTCTATTTTATTCTATTTATATTGGCGCCGTAAAATTTTTGCTTTATTCTAATGTAATTAATTAATTCGTCGTGGAATGTAAAGTACAATAAAATCGCCAGAACATTATTCCACAAGTAGTATTCGGCCTCACCGATTATTATTTACAGGTTGTATGTACTATGATAAGAATAAGAAGTATAATTGCGTATTTTTTTGTACAGCATGTATAAAGGCAACACGCGCGCGAAGTATACGATATATAAAATCGTGAACAATTTACATACTGGCAACGCATTTTGCATAAGCCAGGCATTCGTACAACACTGTCAGTACAATACAAATGAGGCTAAAACTGACGGAAAATTAATTTTCGATCACAATTGCAAGAAATACAATCTAAATATCAACCAATAAGTGCACTCGCAAATATTCGAAAATTTAGTAAGTATTATAATAATGTTTATATATATAGTATGTATATATACACACAATATATCCCACCTTCTGTATTAGTAACTTATTTATAAAATAATTCTGTCAAATTATATACATTGCTATACTCATTTCGAATAGCATTTTACTATATTAAAATATCTATATTACTATAAAAGAATTATACATATCTTATCTCGTTTCCATTTTCTCTAATATTGTTTGATTTGATTCTATGTTTGTTATGATTCATCTTTTTTACTTTAGGAGATAAAAAAAAGTGACTTCTTATGTGGGGGGATATTCTGTGTGTATATATGTGTACGTGTACGCTGCATATTACACATATTGTTATTATAATATTATATGAGTTTTAGAATTATTCTTAAAAACAATACAAATTTTACAAACAACGAAACTGCAAACTTGTTTTATCATCATTAAGAAAATATTGCTTAGCTCTTAAAAGAATATTGCCACTATATAAAATGCATTAGAAACTCATTAAGTAAAATAATATACAATCACATTTTGACTCCCAGTAGTATTAGTAATATCTAATAGAATAATTATCATTGGTGACTCATCTTATCTAAGGAATTAAACTTTTGGTACGAAATATTTGAATCTACTATACATATGTTACATTATATAACTTTTCCTTAATTCCCTATTATACTTATTTGATGTACAATAATTTATTATAAGATAAGCTATACATAAATAATAAGCGTATATTCTGATAAGCGTGTGCAAAGATTTTTTCTCACAAAATAAATTATTAATATATTATATAGTTAAACAAACCAGATTAGAGAGAAATATAAATTAAACGAAATCTATTAAATATAAAATATATATCATTAATTAAACAAAAAAATTCTATAAAAATAGAATATTAACAAAATATTTATATTTACTTATATGAATTGGTTAATTAATTTTCATTCCAACTATATATTATCTTTAACTATGTACTTATACCTTTTTCATATAAGGTATGTCATTTTTTGTATTATTGTAATAATGGATTTCAAGAATTGGCTAATATTATATTTTGCAATAGAAAGTTTTTGAAGATAACTTTTTCGTTCTCCACAATATATGTATCCTTACATTATATAGCAATTATATAAAAAGTTGTTACTCGATTAGCTTCTAATTAAAAAAATATTATGAAAAATACTATTAAACAATAATAGTATATTATATTGTTTTCTGAAAACTTGATATTTAATTTACATGTACTTTTTCACTTAAAATATTTGCAATCCACTATAATCAATCTCATTAATTTAAATATTAATTTGTTTACAATAACAATGTTTTCTTCGAAAAACAATCGTTCACATATTTAAACAATTTTAACAATAAAAAATACAAAGTAATGTGAACACTCTTTTATGTAATATTAAAGTGTCAAAGATTTTTCTGTTGTAGTTTAATTTGCGAAATATTAATGTATATGTAATACATATCTAATGCAAGAACTGTTATTTTTGTATAAGAATTATGATTCTATCTTTAGTTCGAAGATTAATGTCATTTGTGATACATTTTATTATATATTATATCCTAAAAAGATTTCTATATAACTAAACTCTTATATTTAGATTACAAGATCATCATTTTAATTGTCTCCATATCGTTCATAATTATAGCACACATTGCTAACATTATTATTATATTTTTAATACCAGAACATAATGCTGTTGTACTATATCAAACTACACTCGTCGAAAAATAAGATTATTTCTTTAATGGCAGCTTACTGAAATGGAACTTTATGCATTTTCATCTAATTCTATATAATAAACATAGGCCGTTTCTATATTTCGCGGCAATGTTTTTAAAACTGTCTGTTATATAAACATCGTTTCGTATGAAAGATGTTTTATTTGAAAGCATATAAAATATAGATAATATATTTTACATTTTCCACGTGTAAAAGCATTATTCAAAATAGTTTTAATTTCTGTTTAGATAAAAGCATTAATTTTATAATTTGCACATTATACAATATTTAAGTTACAATGTAGTGTTAACTATATATTTTCATTTTTATCTATTACTTTATTCCTACTTTCTTTACTGCATAATGTGCTATAAACATACTGCAAAAAGCACATATTCTAAAATTTTCTCACTATGTTACATTAGTGCGAATACATTTCTACATATGAAAATGCATATAGTAAAAGATTAAATTGTAGGAACTGTCATATAAAAATATCTTTATATACATGACCAGTTTCGCATGTAGTCCTGAATTTTTTAAAATAAAAGCACTATATGCGCACAAATTGTTTTGTCAGCTGCTTACGGCCTCTAGATTTTACAATTAATCAAACATAAAAAACAATTTCTATTGCCAAAATATTTATACTACATTAAATATATTTTTGAACTGCGAAAGTTTGAGAAATTTTACGATTTGCCTTCCTCAGTATATAGGCAGTATTTATTATAAACCTTTCATAGTCAAGAATAATCATTTAAAGTTTCCATAGTTCAAAGTATGTGTTAGAATGTAACAATGTACAATTAATTAAAGGTAAAGGATAGTATTACATTCTTTAAATAATTAATAATATAACATTAACAATATTATTGTTGATTACTAATAAATTTAAATGTTTTTTCTGTTTTTACTCATTATATTGACTCCTGTTATCATTAGAATAGATATGAGCCTTTTTTAATACATTTTTCATCATGTTATTAAGATTTATCGCACAAAATCTCAAACTTTTGTCTATCTGTGTTATATATAATACATACATAGAATATTGCAGTTTCGTTATTTGAATATTTTAACTCTTATGTACAATAAGCAAATGAATAAAAAAAAATTCACACAATGATTTGTTTATAATGCACACATTTCACCTAAAAGATAGTGCAATTATATTTTTAAGATTGCCTATGTTTAATCAGCTATTCTTGTTACTGGACGTCAGCTTAAGCCTCACACTATTTCTGAGATTCTTAATCTATGCACAGCGCTAGGCATGATAAGCATTTGGACAGAAATTTATATTTCAAATTGACTATTTATCGATCGGTATTTGGTGGACTAATGAATTTAAAACTAATACAATCACAACAATTGTACAAAGATCAACTGCTTGGTATCTTTTTTTGTATTGAATTTCTTCGTAAGACGAGTTTAAGTTCAATAAAAAACAAATCTATAGTGGGAATCTATATTAATCATCGTTTATGTGATTAATGAGTGATGAAAAGTTAATTTTCCCGATTTCCCTTTTTTTGGTAACTTTCCTGTAGATGATGTTTGAAGATGTTATAATAGATATAATTATAAATGCGATAGTCTGTAAGAAAAAAAAATCTAATATTTCTATGTTTCTAAGAACTAATATCGATATAAATAATGCAAATGCATATTGTAACAAGAGAAAATATCACAAAATTATAAATATGCTCTGATATTACATTTAAAATTACAATAAAAAATATACAGAATGTCCAATGATGTATCATTTTTGGTATTAATGGAAAGTGATTGAGAAATTAATTTTAAAAAATTAGAATTCACGCGCGTGGCAAAAAGAGACAACTAAAATGCGATTACTAGCGTGCGACAAAGCATTAGGCTTAATAAAAACTCAAACGCTTAATTATGTGTTACACCTGAAATTAATTATTGCAATTTTCGCAATAATTAATGAGAGAAATCATATACACTCATAAATAATACTCACTCAATCAAGATAAAGTCATGTACCCTTGACAACTCCTGCCGTCAAACTAATCAAAATGTGTATGGCCATTTCCTGAGGTATTAGAGTCTTCATGTAACTTCTCGTTCTGTTCATATGTACAATTCTTCTTTGGAATTGTGCATTCTAATGTTTGTTTAACTCTAGTTGGTGGAAACTTGGTCAAGAAAAAATTGGATCCAAAACTAAACAATTTAGACAGTGTGGGACACAATAACGATTGATGAGTTATTGCCCATATTCGATAATTTTGACCTTCAAATGGATCCAGAACAGCTGCACATAACATGTGACTGAGATTTACCTGTACAGGCTGTGCAAAAAGAATTATATTACAAAAGATTTTTAAAGAATTAAATCTATAACATTTTCAAGTAAAAATCTGATATACAAACCAAGGCAACGCTTTGAAGAATCCAAAAATGATATCCTGCATTGAGGCCAAAACTGAGAATTGACCAGCTCATATCAGATAAAGGCTCAATGTTATATACACCTAATGCATAATCAAAACAGTAATTAAAATATATTTAAAATAAAATGTGATATAAACAGCTGAGCATAAATAGATAGGCACAGATCTATTATTGTTGTATTTAAATATAGATAATTACCTCCAATCCTCAATAAATAATATGGTATGACTAGCATTAAACCATGTTGAATATAATACATTGCTTTGTCTGCCAATATCTACAAAAAAAAAAAAAAAAAAAACGATACATTTTCATTATCCAAAATTGTATTTTGCTAAATACTAATATATTATAACTTACAATTCTAGATTCTGTCTCTGGAAACAAGTATGCTAGTACCGGTCCATTCAACAGATTTAAATGTATCCTGAAGATAGCAGTGACTGTCGGACTAGGATCCGCAGCCAACAAATACAACTATAATGCAACAGAAGACACATATTAGTAAAAAAAATTCAATTCAACCTGTAATAGGAAGTGCACCAAATCATTTTAATTTGAATTAAAGCAGATCAATCTTACTTGTAGAGCCGTTGTAATATGACAAGGATTTAACAAATATATAACAGTTCTGCTGGTAAATTTAAAGCCAATCTCCATTCCCAGGACTAATGACATTATAATCAGCAGGACTCGCCTGCCGACACGATCCTGACCGACGTAGGCCAGATTCTTTGGCAATGTTACATGCTTCAGGCCCCATATGATGCAGGATATGATATATGCAGATATAAATAGTGTTTCTATGATCCTTCGCTTCAGGGTCAGGTAATTTGCACATTCTGGACCAACGTTGCGTGGTATAGAGCCATTTATACCATCATATGCCCACTCGAACATCGTCTTAAATTAACTTCTCCTTTAGAACTAAAAACAGAGAATAATACGAGTTACTCTACGGTAGAACCAGGTAGAACTGGTTTTCCGGCGAGACACGTAGTCGTATATGACGTGGTCAAGATAAAGAATAGTCGAAGGTCTTAAAATTATATATAGATAATTTTTTTACTTGTTTGCCTACTACTGAATTTGCAAAAAATATCACTAGATTATGAAACTATTTAATCGTATGCGACAATTAAATGAGTGATAAGGTTAAATGTTCACGAGAGAGCTCTTTCTCTCTCTCTCTTTTCAAGTACGATGCTTTATTATCGATTTCGCTGTTAAATTATCAATCGTTTGACGCGTTATTGTAATTGTGATACCTAAAATAAAAAGGTTTCGGGAAGATGTCGTCCACCGGAACGTGATGCGTGCTTATCCGCACTATAAATCAAAACAATTTACGATACATCGGACTGTCAAAGTAGACTTCGGCCGCGGTATTCGAAACCTCCCCCTCTTATCTTCCAAGAACTGATCGATTGGCCGCGAAAATCGTCGGTAAATAGCGAGGAGTAAAAATGTTCCGCGGGTAAGAATGCGAGAAATTAACCTACATTATTTCGTCGGCCGTCCAGCAGATAGCGCCACGTGCGCGAAATAAGGCTTATGTCAGATGCGTCACGTCACTTGATCGTCGCGGTTCCCGCGCTCGCGAGTGCGGCCATGTTGCTACGTCAAATGACGTGACATTAAGGTGCCTTTTCATACGCAGCATGCTGCAGCAGCAAATCAGTCATATATGATCAAAATTTATTAAAACATATTTTTTTGTTTTCTTATTATTTCTAAGGTAAAATTACGATTTTTGCTTTTATATTCTCATATTAAGGGGATTCTTCAGCAAATGACGAACTCCGACAAAATAGCAGCACACATATCCAAAACGTGTATATATGCACATACACATAATATACACGCACACATACGTACAAATCGTATTTCTAATTATAAATTATTATTAGACTTTTAATCTAGGTTTAGAAGATTACAGTGCTTATATTCTTTCGTGTCTTCTAATCCCAGGGAATGTGCATTTTTATTCGTACAAAGTGCATATGTTTTATGCATATAAAGCACGCATATTATAATGAGGTTGACGCAGTTCGTCTGCAATTCGAGATGTCATATAATTCGAGATAAAAATAGATAAAAAAAAACTGTAATTTCTCATTTTTCATATCAAATCGAGTTTCCCTGGGATTATTGATGCGCATGTATTGCAATCGTAGATGAAGTATTTTTAATTCTATCGAAAATTATATAAGAAAATGATATACTACCCAGATAGCACTATGTCTAAAATGCACGCATAAGTCATCATTAAGAAATCTTTAAGACATCTTCAAGAAATCTTATGATATGATATCCCAAAGACATCTTAAAGATGTCTTATGGGTGCATTTTGGACATGGTGCTATCTGGGTACCCAGTAAGCAAGAAATATTTAATCAACATTTTATAATGATGATTTTATATAAATTTTCTAAACGTTATGATATAATGTTTTATATATATAAATATATGTTTAAAATATTATTAAGAAATATTCTAAAAAAATATTTTAACTGATGTTTTATAAATGTTTTAAAAATATTATTTAATAACATATATTGCTCAAAATATTAACAAAATATTTTAAAAACGTTAATTTTAACATTATCAAAACCTTTAAATCGATGTCAAAGTTTGTTCATAAAGATGTTGCATACAATGTTAAAAACTATATATACTTGCCAATAAAAATAACGTTGTAGCAATGATTTTTTGCTTACTGGGTATATTCTTGTAGAAACTTATCACTATAGTAACGCCAATTAATCACTTATTTCGAGTACTTAAAATACTGATATATAGTAATTTAAGTACTCAAAATAATGTGATTAAGTACTCGATATAAGTGATAAATTGGCGTTACTGTAGTGGTTTTCTATTACAATTATGTCGATAAAACAGACAGTCGCGAAGGATCCTCTTAATCTATTTTATTTTTAAAATCCATTATTTAACTATAATATAATGATAATAATAATAATTAAAATCAACTAGTGCGTTCTGCTTTGCTGCCTTTGCTGTTATTTGTTCAAAAATTGAACTTCTTCAATAGCAGTCACGTAAAGTACCTTTTCATGTGCAGCAGACTGCTGCGACAGTATGTTGCACATGAAAAGGTACCTTTACGTGACGTGATGCAAAGTGATGTCGGCACGATTCCCGCTCTCGTCCAGCGATTCTCGCGTGAGTATTTTACATATTAATACTTAATATCGATGTCAATCGTGACAAAATATTGAATAAGATTAAAGTAACGAACAAGGGTTGTCATGTTTCGTATCATATCTTCTTGATACGATTCATATTAATGTGAAATTCGGTTCATTAAGATCCCGTGTTGATTTTCTCGTCGATCTCTGTTTGGCGCATATTTTATCCGTCGACATCGCGAATTTACAACGACATATCAGAAGGATAAGTGAATTTTATGCGTAATCATTCCATTTCTTGTATGTACATCGTCGTTTGCGGTTCGTATTAGTGCTAAAATTAGCAAAATCTCGTTTAATTAAATCGGAGCATTAGTGTAACGAGAGAAAGAGAGAGAGGGAGATATAACATGAAATTTGCCGCGTTTGCCACCGCCATATTGATTACGTTTGTGTCACGTGATGACAGAGCGATGACGTAGCTTGATATCTTTTTGAACCGCCAGTTTCTCTACCGTTTTCCCGCTCGTCGATCTACTTCTCTCATTTTATTCGGCGATATCGTATAATACGTGATGATTTATCGGGAGTCGCGAGTGTGTGAGTTACGGGAGAATCGAGTTTTGTATGAATTGTCATTGCTAGTAGTTGATTAATGCGAAATTCAGTGCGATTAACCTTGATTGCAATCATCATGGTCGCACGATCATCGCCACCCACAATACAAGATGCAATTTTTATCAATTTGATCAATCAATTGATAATTTTCATCATTGCCATCCACAATACAAGGTATATAATTTTTATCAATTTTATAAATCAATTGATTTTTATCAAATACATGATTTTATCATTGCCACTCACAATAATACAAGGTATATATAATTTTAATTTTATCAAATATATCAATTTTATCAATTGTTAACGAAATAAATACAAATAAATACTGATTAGATAGATATTTAAAGAATGAAAACTTCTATTTTAATATTATATGTAAAATTTTTATATTATATCATATTGATAAAAATATTTCTTTAAATTTATTGTCGTTATGTGTAATTGTTCGTCTTACATATAAGTTATTACTACAGACTTCTAGATATAATCTATATATATTATAGAAGTCTGTGGTTATTACTTATATACATTTTCTATTTGATATTTTATATATGTATGATCTCTGCTTTCTAGTTTATTGTTTATGTTCTTTGGTCTAATAGTATGGTATGTGATTCTTGAACTCTTGTTTTTCTGGTTTATGATTCATGGTCTCTGGTTTAATGGTCTATGATTTATACTATTATTAATACTATTATTAATAATGGTTTACATATTATTATATCTTTATTTAGCATAATATGACACGAGTCATATGAATTTAGAACGAAGGATATGAAAATTATTCTGCGTAGAAATGTTTAAATGTCAAAATGTTAAAATGTTTAAAGATGAGTTCTTTTTACAAGACATACCATGTATTATTTTGTTCTAATTGCATCAATTATACCACTCAATAGCACTACTAACTTATATTTTAAAATAATAATGCTAAAATATAATACGCAATATTACAAATCAAGCTAGAACTGCAAGATACTTTGTAAAAAATCATTTATCTAATTCTTTACATTATATTAATTTCTAATAGAGAACTCATCACTTATGTATTTTGTTCAAACCTTTTATTTCTTAATTTCATCATGCATTGTAAATTCAACCTTGTAAATTCTTCCAGCTATAAAAGAAGGATAAAATCTAATTGAAATATTGCATTTTCTCATGTTGATTTAATTTCCTTTTTATTTTCAATAATCAATTATCTATGAAATAAAAGGATAGAAAGTCTGATATTTAATTCTGATTATAAAATTTGAGATAATTAATAATATTAAATAATATGATAAAATGTTTTATTTTCCATTATTTCTTATTATTTATCTTAATATAGTGTGTATGATTTCTTGAAAATTCATAAATAATTAAGAGTTCTGCCAATTTCACCCATTTACTTTGTCCTCTTTTTAGTGTAAATTCTAACAATAAGAGAGAATTTTCTCCTATATCTATAAATATTGAGATAAGATCCAGTCAATTTTCGAGAATACTTATAGAATTATATCCATTTTTAATTCTAACACATTTATATCATGTATGTTATAATGTAAAAAATAGTAAGAGTGTTCTATAATATATATATTTTATTTGTTATCACAGGTAGCATTGCGATACACAGGTGTAATTTACACATTGTGTCTATATTATGAAGGACTAAAAAAGGAGGAAAACTAGGAAGAGAACCAGGAGGAGATCCCAGAGAGTCACCAGCAACAACAGGCTAACTATAAGGTATGCAAAATAAATATACATAGAATTTTTTAGAATTTACCTGAAAATCATGGTAATCGTGGGACATTTGGAAGAATTGGAAGAATTTTATAAGAGTTTCTTTGATTTACAATAAAAAAATTAATATGTACATAGTAAATTTTACTATTGTATATTGTATAACATTTCTTTTAAGAAATATATAATTTTTGTCATATTTGTTAAAGTATTTTTGTATATATATATTTTATTTGTTACATTGTTATACACAGATAGTGTGATTCACCCGTTATGTCTATGCTATGAAGGATCAAGAGAGGAAGAGGAGACCCAGGACCCAGGGAGGCACCGGCGACAGCAAAGCTACTGTGAGGTATGCAAAATGAATATATGATAACATTTCTTTTAAGAAATATATAATTTTCGTTATATTTATTTAAGTATCTCTCCATATATGTACTTTATTTGTTATTATAGGTAGCATTGCAATACACAGGTAGTGTGATTTATGCGTCGTGGTGTTTATGCTATGAAGGACCAAGAGAGAAGGAGACCCAGGACTCAGGAAGGCACCGGCGACAGCAGGGCTACTATGAGGTATGCATAATAAATATATAAAAATATTTCTTTTAAAAATATATAATTTTTTTAATTTGTTTAAGTCTCTCTCTCTCTTTCTATATATATATATTTTTTTGTTATTATAGGTAGCAATTACTATATAAACTGTGCACAATGACGGTCGACCCAGAAAGAAGGAAGAAGCCCGGAGAGGTATCGGGCGACAGCAGGGTAACTGCGAGGTGTGTAAAATAAATATTTAATAACATTTCTTTTAAGAAACAATTTTATTTGATATTTGTTTAAGTATCTCTATATATATGTATTTTATTTGTTATTACAGGTAAGTGTAATTCACGCGTCGCGTCGGGAGTGCCGTGTAAAGTGTCGCGCGTCGGGAGTGCCGTGTAAGTATCGGGCGATCAATTATTCGTGTTTTCGCGATTGTCGTGAGTGCTACAAAGGACCAAAAGAGGAGCAGGCCCGGGGAGGCATCGGGCGACAGCGGGAAAACTATGAGGTATGAAAAATTTTTTTTAATTTAAAAAAATTGTACATATTACTTGGAAATTATCATTGTACATTACAATATATATGGTATACATGTACAGACATAATTTGAATATTTTGTTTTCAGATCAATGTGCTGTTTACTACAACTCTGCTGTTGCACGTATCGGTGAGTGAGAAATTGTTAATTTCAACATTTCTATAATGGTAATAGGGATGTGTAAAGCTGGCGTCTGATATTGTAGAAATTTATAAATAATTAAGAGTTCTAGCTTTTTATTTTAAATAGTTCTTGATCTATTTGTATAAATTTAAACTATCAAGAACTTTAGAATTATTAGAAATAAAACCAGACTCTTAATTATTTACGAGTTTCCATGAAATGAGATACACACAGCTTCACCCACACAGAACTAATATATTATTCTTGAAATGGATTCAATAATGACAAATGATGTTACCAGTGCAACATATAATAATATAAATCACACATTTAAAAATTGATCAGAATCGGTATTGTGGAAAACTGAATGCTATCCTGACATTACAAAAGCCATCTCGAGCAACACCCCTTCAATGTTCTCTGTTCCGAAGGATAGTTAACGCGGATCGTTGGCAGAGATGATCCAAGACGACCCTGGCAACCCCCGAGACAGGCTGCGAAAGTGCGGGTTCGGTGGAAAAGGCTTTAAAAAAAAATCGAGAAAACACGAACGCGAGCACACACGCGACCAAGATGGCGTCGTCGCGGTCGTTTCGCGATATATGTATATACGATGTAGAGAGACAGGATACAGGGGGAGACGCGAGAGCGTGCGGAGCAGGAATGGAAGCCGCAAAAGGAGAATGGGGATAATTGCACGCGAGGCAATGCACGAGGCTCCTCCCCTTATTCAGGCCTAAAGCCTGCAACTGCAAGTGCCAAGCTGCTCACTTTGCGGTGCGCACATATGACACGTTCGGCCGCTCGCGACGCGCATCCCGATGCGCTCCGCCTTTGCGCTTTTGTGTGAATACATTTATTATGCGTATATGTATATTCACGTATACGAATGTCCGTATGTGTATTTGTGTATGTGGACATTTGTACTCGATGATGACTAGGACTCTGTCCCTGGAAATCTGATTCATTCGACAATGCTTGTCGCGAACTATCGATCGGTTTATTTTTTCTCTATTTTTCTAGATTACAGATTTTAGGATTTCGAAAGAAATTCGAGAAACAAGAAATAAATGATCTTGTTATTTTCTTTTTATCTAATTTTGCAAATCGAGCTATTGACATTTGACGTTTGACGGATGATGTGCAAAAATGGATTAATTACTGAATTGAAAAAAAGACTTATATAACGAGCGCGACAATATGAAATTGTATGTTTTTAATTTAATTTATTTAAAGCTATTTGACGAATTTATTTGCTTTTCACAAAATATATTCTGGTTTTTAATTTCTTCTATTATATAATAATTAGCGAAGTTCATATAATAATTAACCGTAGCTTAGCCAAAATTAATTATCAATCAATCAAATTATATTTGAAGATCTTTCAGAAACATTTTCAGAATTTTTTAGAAAGGGTTCTGGTCTGTAATCTCTGGGTCTGGTCTTTCGTCTCTAGTGTATAGTTCAGTCTTGTTTCTCTTAGCTGAAAGCAATCGATCAATCAAATTGTATTTGAAGATCTTTGGGAAATATTTTTAGAATCTTTTAAGAAGATGCCAAATACACATAAATTAACATTTAATTAACTGATCATTGATTTTTGGGTTATTTATATTATTATATGTTGCACTGTGTATTTCCATCGATTTTTTTGCAATGATAAGATATTACTTATCATATTTCTAAAAATTTTTGGGAGATAATCCCATTGCGCTGGCGTATATATAAAACTCAAACGAAGCATTCGCACCCCTATATACATATGTCTCGCGCGAATTGTTATTCCAACGTAGAGATAAAGGACCGAGATACCAACACGCGAGGAAAAAAAATATTGTAATTTCACCGGTAATTGCCGGTATTTATTGCGCTCGCGATGGATTTTATCGTCGTCGACGCGTTATTCAGTCGATGAGTCGTTACGGCACCGCGAGAATCGATAGCCATATAGTGATGCGTGATTAACAGGTCGGCGGATTTGCTGTTACGACACTTTGTGTGTCGTTTCAACGACACAGGGAACGAGAGAGAAAAGCCAGTAATAAAGTCCGCGGTTTAGCATAATAAAAACGTGTCGCGCGCTTGTGACGAACGAATGCCGATATTTCGTGATATACACGTGTGTTTCGTGCGACCGATAAAATTTTTCAGGCACATACACATACGAGTATGCAGTTGTTACATTTTTCTCTTCTTCTCTCTCCCTCTCGTTATCGATATATTCGAAAGTGGTATTAAACGGGCTCTGACAGTTATCGATACCGCGGATCGGCCCGTGCATTATTAAGCATTGTTAACTTTATACACTTGTGACATATACGCCCGCGGATATTATCACGATTTAAGCACACGCGGAATATGTTGCAGTCAACTACACATACACACATATATATAAATTGCGCATGTGTATGTACTTAACATTAAAATTGCCGAGTGTAAAGTACGTGCGCGCGAAACGGGCTCGTGGAGCTTTGCGCTTTAGACACCAGCTATCTTGATTCGCGATATGAAAAAAATGAACCTCTTTTATGCATCGGCGGCGAAGCTAAATAAAAAAAAAGAGCGTACGTCGCGACACAAAGTTTCCGAGATGCTAATCCGTTCTCGCGCGCAACCTTCCAACTCGTATAAATTGCGGTCGCCAGATATATACGTGTAATATACATATATATAATATATATTGTATGTTGACGAGTTCTCGTAAGGTAATCGGAGAAATATATGAAAAATGCGTCCACACACGACGATGTCAGCTGATAATGCATGTTAATGTATTATACAACTATAGCTTTGGCCATTTCATACAAACAAAATGTGTGAACAGAAAATTCAGTTGCATCTTGACAGTATTTATAGATTTATAGGTAATCCGTTGCTTATAACAATAAATTTCCTAAATATTTTATTATCATAGAATATCATCTTACATTCTAAATAATTGGAAATAACATTCTACTTTTTAATTATTCTATAAATCGAATTTAAATATTTCTATGTGATCTCTGCTCTGTGATTTGTATTATTTTATAATCTCTGATCTATGATGTATGTCTATGATTTTTGGTCTTTGGTCTGCACAGAGAGAATTGTCTCGGATTTATTTTAAAAATCATGGTAAATCGTAAGATAATATGGTATTGGAAGAATTTTATGTGTTTCTCTGATTAATATTTACCACCATAAAAAATATTAATATCTATCTAATATAATATTTATTTTATCTAATATAATATTTTTTATTGTAGTAAATATTAATCAGAAAATCTCATAAAATTCTTCCAATACTATATTGTCTCACAAATTGCCATGATTTTCGGAGTAAATAATAAGAGAAAATTCTTCGTATGTGATTTATAATCTCTTGTTTTTCTTCACCGAAATTAATCAATTAAATTGTAATTGAAAATTTTTCTTAAATAATATTTTGATTCGTACATATGTTTACTTTATCAGAAAATTTTCAATTTATACTAATACTATTAAATAGATAAATATAGTAATCAATCTTTTGATTAAAAAAATATGAATGACTACGACGCAACAAATTACGTAATTTGCGTGATAAAAAATTCTATTAAATTAGCATACAAATATGATATTCTCTTACTTTAAAAGTATGTTTTTTTTTTCACGATCATCTTTATACGCGCTTAGTATTATTACAAGTAATTGTCATTTCAAGATGGTGGACTATAATTGGCCTTCTCTTAATGCCGGTTTACGAGATAAAGTAACGACTTGCCGACAAATGCAGTAATAGGATAAATTACATTAACTTTACATTCCGCGCGCGCATATGGTACTTCCATGCTTATTTTTTTAATATGGTTTACACATTCTATGGTTTACAAATTGAATATTTTTCTTATTTTAGTATCCCACAACCCACAATATTGATTTTTTATGGTAAATTATATGGATTACAAAATGAAACAAGAGCACATACATATTTAAACATTCTATGGTTTAGGTACACAATATTAGATACACAATTCTATGATTTACAAATATGGTTTACACATACTTTATGATTTACAAATTGTTGCATTAATCACATAATTTGCACGAAATCTTTTAAAGATATTTATTTCTTGAACAAAATACCGATGTACTTAATGTGTCACTATTTTAATTCAAAACATGACGTAAGAAGCTTAGTAAAATTAAATCATAACAAAACATTGCCAAGTTTAAACAGTAACTTTATACTAGTAATGTTAATTTGAACGTAACACAAACGTGTTCATATATTCTGGGAAAGAAATACTATTTTTTAATTACTAATATTCTACTTTTTCAGTTAAAAAAAACTTAAGTGATATTAAATGTATAAATTTTTGTACAAATCAAAAATAGGTCATATATAATTGTTAAGAAATTTATTGTAGTGTATAGTTTCATATGTTTTAAACCCATAATTACACGGTGCCTGATGATATTAACAATCTTGAAATGGCTGCGAGATTTACATTACATAAATGTAAAAGAAAATGTTGATCACGTAAGCATGACGCCTCGAAATGTACAGTCCGACTTCTTTCATATATACATACATATATGAAACATTTTATAAGGAGGCCATAATTGTCTGAGAGATTTGCCGTATTACATATATTTTTTCGTGAGATTTCACTATCGCGAATATCAATAAACAGCAGATAGATTTTTTCTTCTGCATCGTATAATAACGAAGGAAAGAATCCGATGTTCTTCGCATATTTGAGATTTTCTTGGTTTTTATTAATCTTTTTAATTTTTCTTAAAAACTAGAAGAATTTGTACGGATCACTTCCATAACATCCTGCAATTTACGAAGGCATACTATAATCACGCACGTACCACATGAGATAATTAGTATTAAGTGTCGGTACATAAGGAAAGCATCATGTGAAAAATTTTAACGTAGCCTTCTGATGAAGATATGGCTGCGTTAAAATCGTTCATTTCCGCTTTTGCAGCTGAAACTCCCTCATCCAGCGAAATACTGTTATTGTTGATGCAATCAA